CAGCTGTGCTCTGACCACAGGGCCTTTGCACCACCTGTTCCCTCTGCCTGGAACAAGGAGCCCTGGTGGCGCAGTGGTTTAAGTGCTTGGCTGCTAGCTGATCCGTCGACCGTTGAAACCCACCAGCTGCTCCATGGGAGAAAGATGTGGCAGTCAGCTTGCATAAAGATTTCAGCCTTAGAAACCCTACAGAGCAGTTCTACTCTGTCCTACAGGGCCCTGTGAGTCAGAATCGACTGGATAGCAGCAGGTTTACTGCCTGGAACCACCTCCGCCTGGAACTCGCCTTCCCCCAGGTGGCAGCACGGCTCCCTCCCTGCCCTCCTCCAAGTCTTTACTCCCATGTCCTCCTCCAGGAGGCCCACCCTGACCACCTCATTTAAAACCACAGCCTGCCCCCTTCACCTATGCCCAGCTGCACTTTATCTGGCTATTTGTCCCCTAGCACTTGACCAAACCAGCGTGTAGCTTCATAGGAGACCTTTGTCTCTTGTCCTGCTTTTCCCAAGTTCCTCGTGCACTGCCCGGCACATAGTAGGTGCTCAAACAATATTTGTTGAAGGAATGAAAGCAGGTTGGAGAGAGAACCCTGTGTGTGTGCAGAGTCAGTATGTCTTGTCGGTACCTCAGCTCCTTGCTCACCCACCCTTGGGGACCCTCAGGTGTCACACTTGGTGTTAAGGGGCTGGGGCAGAAGCCAACAGTCCCCCGTAGTTCTTGTTTCTGCTGCATTTGCACAGAGTGCCCGCTGGAGCGCTCTGGGCGGGCTGCAGGAGTTGGGAGGCTCCGCCACTCTCTGTTGTAGATGTTCTCTTGGTGGGTCTCTGTTCTTGCTCACCTCTGGAGAGAAGCTTTGCTGAGCAGCCAGGCCTGCAGGGTCCAGTTCTCCCCAGGAGCCCGGGACCGCAGTCGTCCCTCGCTCTGGGTATCCATTCCTTACTGTTGAGATATTGAGTCATTGGGATGGCTGAGCTCTTAGTGTCTGCTGGGTCCTGTGGGCCCAGAGCCCTGGCCTGACCCAGAGTGCCCCCTCTCCAAGGACGGGGGTTCACGTGCACCCCAGGAACACACATGCCTTCCTGCTTATCTCTCCCTGGGCTGTGACTCTCATTTTGCAGGAATGGAAACTGAAACCAAGATGTCGAGGACTTGGCTGCAGTTGCTGGGGTTGGCTGAGGCATTTCCTCCTCCAGCCTTTTGTCTGCAGGGCATACCTGGGCTGGTCCCTAGGGAGCCCGAGGTCGGGGGGCTAGAAAAGCCTCAGAAAGTCCATCTGCCCAGAGCTCCAGGATGCCTGGGTCTTGAGGGGGTAGGGGGAACACAAGGATACAGGCATGGAGGGGGTGCGGGTGTGCGCAGAGCCCCAGCCATCCTGGGCACAGGTGGAGCTTGGGAGATGATGCTTGGGCTGGTCCGATGGTGGGGTTTTAAATGCTATGATGTGGGGTTCCCTGTAGGGCCAGCAGCAAGGGGCCCCGGGTGGTGTTCGGAATGTCCAGTAGGTGCCTCTCCCCACCCAGGCCCCCACTGCTCTGGCCAGTGCTTAGGGGACCCAGGTTTGAGACCCTTCCTCCTGGAGCTGGGTCTGGGCCTCCTTCAGCCATTCCAGGGCTTCCTGGGGGGCTGCGTGGGCCCCCTGCCAGCTGGCCAGTGCCTCATGCCATCCACACCAGGGGCTGGTTGAACCCAGACCCTGCCCAGACTCCCCAGAGACGGCACCTGTTCCTCCCCTGACTGGTGACCCCAGCAGGCAGTCACCAACTTCCACCAGTGCCACCTCTGAAACCTCCTGGCCACTCTGGTCCCAGCCTTCCGAGTGTCCCCGGTGGCTCTCAGCCTTTACTCAACTCCACTGGGGCCTCGTGCTTTTCATACTCATTTCCCATCATAAAAACACTTCTTCCTTCAAGGAAACTTGAAAAGTGCAGAAAATAAAAAAGAGAAATGAATTGCCCAGAACCTCCCAGACCCAGTTGCCTTCAGGTCAATTCTGACTCGTGGCAAGTCCGTATGTGTCAGAGGAGAACACACATGCTCCATAGGGTTTTCAGTGGCTGATTTTTTGGCAGTAGATCACCAGGACTTCCTTCTGAGGCACTTCTGTATTGTGCTGGGAAAAAGTTCCTAAAAAAAAAAAAATCTACTCCCTACCCAGAAAACCTCTCCACAACAACGAAGAGAAAGAGAAGCTTTATTACTGAGTAAGCACGAAGCCAGAATGTGATGTATCACAGGAAGGAACCTGGCCCTTTACAGAGCTAAAGAAACTAAAAAACAAAACAAAACAAAAAAACCCAAGCCCATTGCTGTCCAGTTGATTCTGACTCACAACAACCCTGTTTGACAGAGTAGAACTGCCCCATAGGGTTTCCAAGGCTGAATCTTTAGAGAAGCCGACTGCCGCATCTTTCTCCCTCAGAGAGCCTGGTGGGTTTGAACCATGGACCTTTTAGGTTAATAGCTCAGCACTCAACCACTGCACTACCAGGGCTCCTTAGCTAAGGAGTTACAGTCTATTATGTTGGTTTTTTCAAGATAAAATTGCTAATTTTCTACTACCTTTGTGGCCTGAAGGTATGCTAATCTCCTTTCAGGAAAGAGGAGGTCCTTGAGGAGACATCTTTGATTTAAAGAGACAGAGACAGAGAAAGAATTTACAATGCCAAGTTATCTAAAGTGAATTCTGAAAGAGCAAGGAGGAGGGGAGACTCTTCCCTTATGTTCCATGGGGAGAATTCAAACCTGTGTATTTTCAATTCATATTTGTTCTTACAGTGGCCTCAGAACCACCCTTTCAGTTAGCACCTGACTGTGTTAACCTTTTGTACTACCTGGGGACTCCGCCCAGGACCTTGTCCACCCCCTCAACCCCCCACCCCGGCAAATAGAACCTTCCAGCACAAGGAGCAGGATCACGGCTCTGCAGGAATTTGTGAGCCAGCACTGGACTTTCGCAGACTGAATAACCCGGCTTAAGCGAATTGTGTGCAGTGCTTGCCTGTTTTGTTGTAACAATGATTTGGGGTGCCTGCGAGGTCATCATGCCACTCGGCAGTTGGCTGAATTTAGAGTCTGTTAGCACGCTTAGCACCGACTGGGCACCTGCGTGTCTGTCCGTCCATCCAAAGGTCCGTTCGCAGGATGTGCTGGGGAGCTCAATGCCGCGCAGCATGGGTGGGTGACCTGCACACTGGGGGGTGGTGGGAATTGGCCTTGATTCAGCCGTGAGTCAGGGGTGCAGGGACCTCAGGGACTGGGCTGGAGCATCAATCCCAGGACAGCCTTAGCTGGGAAGCTGTGCGCCCCTCCAGGAAGCTAGTGGGGACAGTGCCGTCCCTGGGCTCAAACCACCCCTTCACTGGCCCACCGGGGGACCTGCGGCAGGTTACTTCACCTCTATGAGCTTCACTGTTTCCATCTATCAAAGCACCTACCTCATAGGGTGTTGGGTGTTGTGCGTATTTAATGGGCTAATGTGAGATAAGTGCTTAAAAACCAGTTGCCGAGGGGTCGATTCATGGCAACCCAGTGTGTGTCAGAGTAGAACCGTGCTGCATAGGGTTTTCAGTGGCTGATTTTTCGGAAGTAGATTGCCAGGCCTTTCCTCCAAGGTGACTTTGAATGAACTGGAACCTCCAACCTTTCCGTTAGCAGCTGGGTGCATTAAATGTCTGCACCACCCAGGGACTCCTCCAAAGTGCTTCATAAATGCTATTCAAGTGTCTTTCTGATTGTTTGTGAATCCAGCTACTTTCTTCTTTATTTGTAATGAGGTAGAAATAATCCCTGCTGGTGGGGAATTACCCACACCTGATGGGAGGGCACAAAATAACCCCGCGGTCCCCGGCCCCGGCCCCGGCCCTGCCGTTCTCCCCACAACAATGCTGGGAACCGTTTGGTGTCTCCTTCCCGACGCTTTCTCCGCTGGAAGGCTGCCCGCGGGTGCGTGTTTCTTGCGGGTGGTGCGGTCGCGGCACACACGCACGCCCTTCACACAGCACTGTCGCGGGCTCGCACTCGGGACTCGCGTCCACATTGCTGTGAAGTCTGCTATGGGGCAGGGCCGCCCCAGCCCCTCCCCCGGCATTCATTCACCCGTTGTTCCGAGTTTTGTCCCGACACAGGCTGCTGGGCTGCACCTTCCAGTGTAGATCCTGTTCCAGAGTCCAGAGTCGGGCATGCTGGCCCCAAGCGCTGGCGCCTTTACAAGCAGACCTGTCTTCACATTGCTCCGGGGGAAGCCTCTCCAGGCGCCGGGGTTCTCTGCCGCCCACGCCCTCCCGAGTTGGGCTCTATGGATCTTTTTAGACCCTGCCAATCCGACAGGCGGAAAAGGCATCGTGCTGGTTTCCCTTTAATTTTCCCACTGGCAGGAAGCCCGGCACTTTGTCAGACGTTAACAGACCTTCGTGTTTCTTTTTCTTTGAATGGCCTGTTGCTTTTCTTTTGGGAAACTCAGTTTTTCGTATTGATTTTTATAGTTGTTAGGATGTATGAGGATAACCGTAACCCCACCTCCCTCCTACGGGCTTGCTCAGCAGAAGGAATGCCGTGGGCCACATAAACATGGGACTTCAGGTGCGGTGTGCTCAGGGCTCTTGCTGGGTCTCTGACCCTGCCGGCACTGCCCTTCTCCATATACCAGTTCGTCTTCAGGCTAACTTTCCTTGTGGAGGCAAAATGGTGCCGCCTCGTACCATCAGATCCGTCAGTGCCCAGCGAGGAGGAGGGAGTTGGTATGTCAAAAATCCCTCAGGCCGCCCCATCCTCTGTGCTCCTTGCTGATTGGCCCACTCCTCAGCCAATCACAGAGGCCTGGGGGGGGGGGGGGATGCCAGGCTCTGATAGGATTAGGCTAATTAGGCCCGCCCCTCCAGCTGGAGGAGTGGTGACCCCCCGGGCTGGTATGTGTCAAGAATTCTTGTCCAGCTTTTGTTTGGGGGCTTTAAGGTTGTGTGTGTGTGTTGCAGTTTAAAGTGATTATTAATTCTGAATCTCGTTAATGACATTCATTCAGCAAACGTTTCCTGAGCACCTTGCATGTCCAGACACAGAGGACGCGAAGGGAACAAGGCGGCTCTGTTCTTGCCTTCCAGAACATACAAGACGCAGAAGGGCTGTGGAGAAGGGGGATGGGGGGACTGCAGGAGGAAGGGCCGGAACGGTGGTGTACCCTTGGAAAACCTCTGGCATTGAAGAAGGTCTCGGGGGTCAGGCCAAGAAGGTGCCGGGCAGGAGAGCAGCTCGTGTGGGGGGCTCAAGACCTGGATTGAAAATAGGGGCCCCTGGAAGGGTTTGCAGATCGGGAGGGGCTACTGGGTCAGGTATATATTTTTGAATGATCACTCGGGGTTGTTTGGATGACAGCTGTACATGGTTGTGATTTGGGGGCAGATCAACCTAGAGGTTTTGATTAGTGTGGGGACTAGGGAGCCCCCTGAGCCACCGCTGGGAGGTGCTCGGAATGGGGCGCCCATCACTGAAGGAGCTTCTGGTAGGGGTGGAGGGATGACAAGTTTTGAGGTTCGAGGAGCCTCGCCCTCGGAGAGCATTGTCCAGGAGAAATGTTCTGATCTGGAGGTCAGAAGGGAGGGAGGGAGCCTGGGTGGCTCACCCCTCGTGTGGCTGGGGCCGGGGCCCCAGTCCCCTAGCCCACCAAGCTCCCTGCAGGAAGGAGGTCGCCCACTGAGAACAGGAATCGAACCATACTGGTCTGAGGTGCCCAGGCAGGGCGGCAGAGGGAAGGACATGGTGGCAATCTGCGGGTGAACGTCTGTGTGGAGAATTCCGATTCCCTTGGTGAGGTGCGCCTGCTCCCCCTGCGATCTGACCCTTCTTTCCCTGCCTCTGCAGATCCCGAGACTCACAGCACCCAGGCGGTGCGGGCTCCGGACGGGGAAATGGAGCGTGGGGAGGCACTGAAGGAAGACGGCGGCCCATCCTTGTCCCTGGGTTTGGATGACGGACAAGAGAACCCGGTGGAGTCTTGCTCTGACGCCTCCTGTACCATCCAGAGGGCGAGTCGGCTGCGTAGGGTGAGTGGATGTGGGGCATCTGCAAGCAGCAGCTCCGTCCACTAAGCGCTTTCCTGGTCCGGTTTCGTCAGGGGCTGAGCAGGGTCTGCCCGGTTCACCCCCGGCCACGGGTTACCCTCGCTGCCCCATGTCCCCACGGCTTCCTCTCCAGGACAGCCGCACCATGCTGCTGCTCTGCTGGCCCTGGAAGTGCCCGCCACCCAGCACGCTGACCCCTGCACCCTAGGCACATGCCAGGCATAGCAGAACCCCTCGCCCTGTGCGGACCTGTCACAGGATCTGTAGGTTCCAGCCCCTCTGGGTCTCTACCTTCCTCTCCTTCCATTCTCCTACCTGACCCACTACACAGTGTGTCTGTCAGAAGCTGGGGCTGGGCTGGGTGGGGACACCGGAGCTTCAGCTACTAGTGTGCTCAGCTCTTCTCTGGGGCTCTTTGCTTTGGTGGTGGAGCCCTGTGGGGCCCGCAGCCGCAGGCACAGGATGCACTGGGGAAATGCTGCTGGCCGCAGGTGCTGCACCCCTGGGGGCAGAGTGAGGCAGAGTCGTCTGCTGTTCCCCTGTGACGCCAAACAGCCCTTGTCCTTGAGACACCAACAGATAGAATGTCTCTGAGTAAGGAGCAAATGGGAGCTCCAGGTGAGGTTCCCAGGGCCAGTTCCTGGGTAGTTCAGGGAGACCGATGGGGAGAGGAGTTCTCTGTGTTGCTAAGACCCAGGCGGTTGTCTCTGGCCCCCAGCTTTCTTGCCGGATACTGAGAACAGGAAGTTGCCTCCCCTGTCTGTGCTTGGGCTGGTTTTCTGCCTGTTCCGAGGTCATTCATTCTGGGTGGTGCTTGGTGGCTGCACTGGGGTGGGAGATGATACAGCTGGCCTCGCTGTGGTCTGTCGATGATGATGTGTGTGTGTATGTGTATGAGTGTGCATCTGTTTGTGAGTGTGTTTGTGTGTGTGAGTGCGTTTGCGTGTCTGTGTGTTAGTGTGTGTCTCTGTGTGTGTCTGCATTTGTGTGTGTATGAGTGTGCGCCTGCATTTGTGTATATCTGTGTGTGTGTGCCTGTTTGTGAGTGTGTCTGTGTGTGTGTTTGTGTGGGTGTATTTGTGTGTGAGTGTGTGTGTGTGAATGCGTGTGTCCTCCCCCATGGACAGTAATCCCAACCAAAGCGAGAATGGCCAATGCCAGGCCTGGGCCACGAAGGACACTGGAAGTCTGGCAAATCCTTGAAACAATACCATTAAGGAAACACACTATTAAGAAACGTACGTGACACGTGAAACGATATTGAGCCCAATAAGATGAGTTTTGGTTTTTTAATCTTGAGAGAGTAAATTTAAGGTCTTTTGGAAGGGAAAAAATGGGCAAGAATTCAAGAATAACCAAAAAAGTGGTAAAAAAAAGTCTAGAGGTGGGACTTGCCGTATCACATTAAACAAAAACATGTTACAAACCAAAGCCATGGTAATTAGTGGAATCCTGGGTAATCAGTGTTGTCAGATTGACAACCCTGAAATAGATCCTAGTGTGTGTAAAGACATTTGGAGAAAATATCCGTGAATATTTATCTGACCTCTGGATGGGGAAAGAGTTTCTAGTAATTAAAGCAAAGAAAAACATACAAACAAAAGATTGATATATTTGACTCCAGAAAAAAAAATCTTAAAAGAAATAAAAACCCCACAGTATATGATAAGCACAAGTGAAGGGCAAACAATCCAGCAAAAATATTTGTAGCCTATTTATATTTACATAAAAATATTTTTAGCGAAGAGCAAGTAGCCTCAATATGTCAAAAGCTCTTAGAAATCAAGAAAGCCATAACCAACCTAACCGAAAAATGGACAACGATAGAAATAGCTTACAACAGAGATGATAGAAATCATCAGTGAACATGTAATCAAACACTGGAAATTACAATAGGCACAAAGCATGCTATCTGGTCAACCCTATCAAAGGCTTGCTCTAAAGCTGGCATTTGCAGTGATGGGGAAGGGCTCCCTAGCAGCCAAGGGCACACAATGGAATATTGTTCAGCCATAAAAAGGAATAAAGCATGGATACATGCTACAACATGGATGAACCTTGAAAACATTAAGCTAAGTGAAAGAAGCCAGATCGAAGAGGCCACATATTATATGATTCCATTTGGATAAAATATCCAGAAGAGGTAAATTCATTGAGGCAGAAAGCAGCTTTGTGGTTACCTAAGCAAACTGCATGGAAGCAGCAGTCAGGAAATCAAACAATGCACTGCACTGGACAAATCTGCAAAAGACTTCTTTAAAGTGTTAGAAAGCAAAGATGTCACTTTGACGACCAAGGTGCACCTGACCCAAGCCATGGTCTTTTCCATCCCCTCATATGCGTGTGAAAGCTGGACAATGAAAAAGAAAGAGTGAAGAAGAATTGACGCCTTTGAATTATGGTGCTAGTGAAGAATACTGAATATACCATGGACTGCCAGAAGAATGAATAAATCAGTTTTGGAGGACGTACAGCCAGAATGCTCCTTAGAAGTGACTTGCTTATTTTCGACACTCCATCAGAAGGGACCAGTCCCTGGAGAAGGACATCACGCTTGGTAAAGTAGAGAGCTGGTGAAAACGAGGGAAGCCCTCACTGAGATGCACTGACGCTACAGCCACGACAACAGACTCCAACGTATCAACAATCGGGAAGATGGCGCCGGACCGGACAACACTTCGTTCCGTTGTGTATAAGGTCACCATGAGTCGGAGCACACTCAACGGCAACGTAACAACAACGAACGACCTGAGAGCTTGCTGGGGGAGGCAGGAATAGGGCAATGCCTGCTGATGGGTTTGAGGTATCGTTTTGAGGATGATGAAAATGTTTTGGAACTAGGTAGAAGAGATGGTTGCAAAGCATTGTGAACGTACTAAATGCTACTGAACAGAATACTTAAAAATGGTTAATTTTAAAATATATGGATTTCACCTCAGTTTAAAAACTATGCACGGCATTGTCACGAAAGGGGATTTAAAAATAAATATGCCTTCACATACGTATCCACACATGGAAGGAAAGAGGAATGGAGGGCAGGCATGACTGCTGATGGAGCTGTCCCCGGTGACTGGCTCCCAGGGCTTCTGTGTGCATTCAGATCCCTGTAGTAACATGTAGCTCTTAGCAGAAAGCAGCGCAGGCCAAATTAAAGAAGACCAAAATAGTGCCCTTCCCACCCTGAGCCCTCTAAGCCTCGGTTTCCTCTTCAGCCAGAAGAGGAGTCTGGGAACGAACCTCTGGAGAGTGGTGGCAAGAGGTCAGGGACCCCCACTAGCCAGTGCCTGGTCCTCTGCGCTGCCCTCGGGGTGCCCTGCGCTGCCCTGGGGTGCCTGGAAGGCTGTGGGTGTCCATGGCTCCGCCTGGGGTACCTGGCCAACCTGTTCCTTCAGGGCTGTTTCCTCAGCTGCGTCTCTGTTCGCAGCACTAGCCCAGGCACTCAGAGGAGGCCCTGGGAACTGGAACCCCGGCTGTACCGTTGAAGAGAGTGTACCTGTGAGGGTGTACCTGCTGCCGGAAGCGGGCTCTGGCCTGGGCAGTCCTTCTCTTGCTCTGATTTGCCGTGCCCTCCAGTGGCAACCTGGGACCCTCCCTGCCTGCCTGCCCTCGAGTGGGCTGACCAGCCAGGGCCTTGGCTGAGAGGAAGTGGCCCCTGAGCTGGGGATCAGTGAGTGGGCATGGAAGCCCTGCCCCGTCTGAAGGAGTCTTGTTTCAACAGGGAGCTGCTTCAGAGGTTTTTGATGAGGGGGAAGTTGCTGTTTACCCTGTCAGCAAGAGAAGAAAGGTGGACCCGAGCCTGTTTGAGGTCACTGGCACCTCTCCTGCAGGCTCTGAGCGGGTAGTTCGCACGGATAGTTGGACAAATGCCTCCCTGCAAGCCCTGCATGTGAAGTGAGATCAGCCTGAGGTCAAATCCTGTCTTAGGGTTCTCTAGAGAAACAGCCAGTGAGGGACAGAGAGAGAGAGAGATTTATTTTAAGGGATCTGGTCATGCGATTTTGGGGGACTGGCAAGGTCAAACTCCACAGGTCAGGCGACAGGCTGGAGACTGCTGCAGACTTGCATCCCAGAATCTGCAGGTCAGGCAACAAGAAGAGTGAAGGGTGAGGGACTTCTGGCAAAATGCCTGCTTATCATCTGGAGACAGAACGCACCCTAGGGAAACTGCCTTTTTGTTCTTAAGGCCTTCAACTGATTGGATGAGGCCCACCCCCATTAGTGAGGCTAAACTGCCTTACTTGAGATCATCTGATTTAATCATAGGTAACTACTTCACAATGGCATCTGGACTAGGGTTTGGCCGGACACCCGGGTACCGTCACCTAGCCACACGGACACCCAATTAGCCACCACATGGTTTCTGACTCTTCTGGAAGGCTGAGAGGACCGGCCTTTGTCACGTGGAAGCTGTGGTGCCGACTGAGGCCGACTCTGAGGACCCTTGCTCACTCTGAGCTTCTGCTTCATCCCTCATGCGTGCCTCCCTGTCCCCTCCCCCATCTGTATTTCTTGTGAAACCATCTCCTATGGCGTGCAGGGAGACTTACCTGGCTGAAGCCCCACAAACAACTTGGGAATTAATTCTTTCCACGGAAGAGAGCAGGGGAGCCACAGGGGCTGAGAAGCCGGCTGGTGGAGGCTGAGTCAACGATGGGGGTGCTTAGAGAGGTCCCCGAGTCACCACCTGCGGTCATGGCCTCAGTTACTGCCCGATGTTCTAACCACTGGTGTGGTAGAAGCCCTGCTGAGTTGAGTCTCTGGTTTCTGGACGTTCAAATCCTGACATCTTTCACTTTCTGTAGCATTTAGGAGTATTACGGGGGTCACTGGTAACATCAGAAAGAAAGCTAGTTAATATATGTAAGGAAGCGCTTTGGCTTCAGAGAGGAGAAGCCAGGAGGCTTCCTGCATTGAAGCAGGATGATGCTTGTGCTTAATTTTCACTCTTACTTTTTTTGGAGTAAAGGAGCCCTAGTGGCGCA